TGTGTATTAACTAAAGATAATTATGAACGTTTAATCATGTATTAATTATGATTTATTGATATCATTATATCACCGTTACATCAGTCGCGATCCGTTGTGATTGACTGATGGCAGGCCAATTTATCGCTTTTTTTGATATGCACTGCGAAACAAATTTATTAATGCGCGCGCGTTCGTACCCCACTGAGTCATACTTTGAACGAGTAATCGTATAAAAAGCTCGAGCAATTAAGAATCGATTCACGATGATTGAAAATACTTTCAAATTGCTCTGGCCTAAAAGGAGAATTTTCGAATATCTTTCGCAATGTAAGTCCTTTCGAATTCGTTTTCACACGATTACTCATACTTATTATGCATATTTCTCTTTATTTCAACATTGTTGCAGATATGTTTCTTTATTTCAACATTGTTGGACAGACAGTATTGCGCAAAAGTAATTCCAACGATAATCGTCGGTTATTTACGTGTATTTATTTATTTTTTTTTAGTTGACATATGTAAGAACTACGAAAATCTGACAGATGCAGGAAGAAAATATAACTATACAACAGTAAATTTGAAATGTGACGGGACACTCAATGGCTGGTATCGCTTCCAAGGAGCTGCAGGAACAAAAATGGTGACCACATGTCCACCGATGAACAGATGTGATACACAATTCCCTGCCTGGTTGCGTGGAGATCATCCTACAGTGGCTGAGGATACAGTCACAAGAGAATTCTGCATTCACACGTTAGAAGGCTGTTGCCAAGAAACAATTCGAATTCAAGTAAAGAATTGCGGCTCCTACTATATCTACTGGTTGATTCCACCAGGAGTTTGTTACGCCCGTTACTGTAGCACTGACTAGTCCATTTTCAAATGACTTTAGTGCTAAACCGATATTGACGGCTCTTTCGTGACGTGATTGCTATCCGTTTGCTTTCGTNATACGAGTACTTATACTTATTATTCATATTTTTTTTTATTTCAACATTGATGTTGTTGTTTTCAGCAGATACAGTATTGTGCAAAAGTAATTCCAACGATAATCGTCGATCATTTACGCATAATTATTTATTTTTTCAGTTGACATATGTAAGAACTACGAAAATCTGACAGATGCAGGAAGAAAATATAACTATACAACACAAACGTCCAAATGTGACAACAAACTCAGTGGCTGGTATCGCTTCCAAGGAGCTGCAGGAACAAAAATGGTGACCACATGTCCACCGATTGACGGATGTGGTGTACACTTCCCTGTCTGGTTGAATGGAACTCATCCTACATTGGCTGAGGGTACAGTTACAAGAAAATTCTGCATTCGCATGTTTGGAGACTGTTGCCAACAAACACTTCGATTTCAAGTAAAGAATTGCGGCTCCTACTATATATACAACTTATTTAACCCAGGGGTTTGTCCCGCCCGTTACTGTAGCACTAACTAGTCCATTTACAAATGACTTTAGTGCTAAACCGATATTGACGGCTCTTTCGTGACGTGATTGCTATCCGTTTGCTTTCGTTGGTCTTAATTTTACCATTTGAAAACTGCGATTACTAGAAAGACACCCGATAAACAAGCAAACGGAGAAAAAAATTTACATATTATAATTTATTTGAAGATT